CAAAGCTATACTAATAGGGGTTTTCCTCTTTTTTCTGGCAACAAAACTAATACCTTTTTGCAAGGAATCATGCTTACATTAACCACAATACTTGCAGTCAAATGCAAACAAAAAAACAATACTCTGATAATTTATGCATTGTCTTTGAAACTGATTAGTCCACACCAGAGACAGCTTTCTTTGGAGCCTCGTCTCATTTGGTGTTCGACCAGATGACGCCAAAAGACAAAGCTCCCTCGTATAGCCTTCGCAAAGCGTCGGGGCAAGTGCTGTTCGCTAACAAAGATAAAGAACCCCCGTATAGCCTTCGTAAAGCGTCGGGGCAAGTGCTGTTCGCTAACAAAGACAAAGAACCCCCGTATAGCCTTCACAAAATAACACAAATCCCCACACCCCTTGCACACACATGCAACTCTACACACACAACAACGCTATCGCATACACGGCACCGTATGCATTACCCGTTACGTAAGGCACGAGTCGAGAGACGAGAAGGCGCATGGTGATGTTGATGATGATGGCGAGATGGGTGATGTAACGCCACTGATGCCAACAATTTTGCTGGCGGTTTCGCGAGAAACCTGCGGTTATTTATATGTAAGTCTGATGATACTGACGACACACACAAAGATAAAGACCACCCGCATAGCCTCAACAGACTCTTGGGGCAAGTGCTGTTCGTGAGTAAAACAGCACCTATGAAGGCCGACACGGCACACGAGGGGGTGGGTGGCCAGGCACCGCGTCCGATCGCCTTTGTCTCCCCAGTGGCGATGTTTACACACCTCACCAGGTACTCATTTGCGGCTGAGTCGACCTAGGGGAAAACCAGGACCGGTTCAGATAATCGTCACTGGCGGTGGCCGTGAGCGCAGTGCGCTAACCACCCCCCATCACACACACACACAACGACACACGAACAGACACACAAACGTGAAAGGGCATTCTGAGAATATCAATTCCTCTGTAAACACTGCACGCACATGGATTCACACTCTCCACTTGCAGCTACTGCAGAGGATAGATGCAACGCTTCTCCGACCACCCCAACGCTCCGTTGCGTGCCTTACCGACATCAATAGGTGCTCGCTAATTATACCAGGCTCCTTATATAAGCCTCGCAACGGGGATGGGTTTTGTTGTTGTGTGGCAATACATTTGGGGAGCGGTGGCGCAGCGGTTAGCGCGCTGCGTCAACGAACCCCGCGACCCGAGTTCGATTCCCGCTCACAGCCACCAACACCCGGTGACGATTATATGAACCGATTCTGGGCCTCACCTAGGTCGACTCAGCTTCAAATGAGTACCTGGTGCGGTGTGTATACATCATCGTGAGGGAGACAAAGGCGGCCGAGCGTGGTGCTGGTCACCACCCTCCCTCGTGTGCCTTCGTAGGTTGTCACTCACAGCACTTGCCCCAACAGTCTGTTGAGGCTACACGGGGGATCCACGTGTTTGTGCCCATACAACACCATCCGGCCGATGTTGCACTGTGGTTATAATTGAAAGGTCAAATCCTCGCTGGGGATAAACGCAGCGCATCATCACGGACGGGTCGGTAAAGCGGGTACCGGTTTGTGAACATTCAACAGTTTGCGTCGGCCTAAAGATGAGAATGTGGAATTTCCACGGCGGCGATGATGATAGTGGAGCTGACTTGACCACAGGCGAGAGAGATGTGAACCCATAATGTAATCCTCTTCATCAATAATCCACTGCTGGATAGGGGGCCTCCCCACGCCTTTCGGGAGCTATTTGACCAAACATCACGTCTGGAGTCAGTGGCGGGTTGGTGGTGACAGCGAAGAGCATAGTCGTGGGGGCACACAAGTACAGCACAACAATTAATATATTTTGCAACACTGCCCTCTATTACCCACCACGTTCATTCAGAGGCCCGTGGCAACCTGCTGGTGCCCGGTGTTGCGATGGCCATATTTACAACTCTTGTTTTGTTTTCAGTTGGTGGCATCAACGAGGCATAATGACACGGCTACACGTTCAGTTCCTCTGAACTGGTGGCTTAGACAAGGCTAAGAGCAGCGTGGTACATTCATGCAATGTGGTGGTCGCATGACACACACACACACACGAGGCACATATACAGGGTGCTTCGAAAAAAATGTCACACTTCTGAGAATTTGCAACGATACCACGAGAAATGTGCCTCCGGGCTCTGGAGACCACCTGGAGAAGATTCCAGGCGTGTGTTGACAACGAAGGCGAACGAGTGGAGACTCTTTGGACTTTCTGAAGCTATTCACATACATTTGTTATCATGTTACAGTGTATTATCCGTTCTTTTACTGGCAGGAACCTCCTGGTTACACCAGCCCACAGGGGATTATTGTGTCCGTCCGTCGTGCATGGAGGGGCTGGGTGGGGAGGAAAGAGTGGGGATGGGCTGGGTGGGGAGGGTGGGGCTGGGTGGGGAGGGGAGGGGAGGGTGGGGGGGCTGGGTGGGGAGGGTGAGGAGGAGCTGGGTGGGGAGGGGCTGGGTGGGGAAAGAGGGGCTGAGTGGGGAGGGGAGGGTGGGAAGGGGCTGAGTGGAGGGTGGGATGGGTGGGGCTGGGCTGGGTGGGGAGGAGCTGGTTACCCCGTGGTGCCCTTATAAAACTCAACGTTTAACCTACTCACGCCGGCTTGTGCCCGCCCTCACAGTCGGGCATATTTGCGGAATACACCACACCGCCGTTGACCCTGGCCATTGACCGAGCAACCCAACGTTCCTACCAGCTCCCTCCGCAGGAATCTGCTTCCATTATAAAAACGATAGTTCCATATACGTGTTAACATTCTTCTTGAAGCATCCTGTATATGTTATATATATGGATCGGAGTCGTAACGTTCTTGCTGCTTGGAAGCAACGCCACACCGTTGTGTGTCGGTCAATGCAAGTGTGTCCAGCCCACGTGCGTTCTCCTGATTGTGACGTGGAGTATAACCTCATTGCTTACAGAAAGAGATGGCTTTGAACCAAAGCACTATCCAGGCTCAAAACCGGATTGGCTTACAAGGTCCTCCGTGTAACATCGCCCGGTATGCAGGAGGTCGTGGAGTTTGCATGTTCTCCCGCCCCGTGGTCGCGTGGATTCTTCTCCGGATCCTCAGGGGTTTCCCTCCGCATTTAGAATCAACATCATCACGTGTTTAGAGTGCTGCGCTGCTCGATATTGCCACGTCGTAAGTCACTTCGTCGAGCGAGCATTTGTGATGGGGCCAGGTCGCTTCTGAAAAAGAGTCCATAGCTTAGTGGGGCCTCGCCTTGAGACGTTAGTGGAAGGCGCCCTGCAAATAAATGTGAAATTATCATTATTATTATCTGGTCAAATAAATAAAGTTTTTTTTTTAATAGTTTCAAGTTTCAAGTTCATTTATTAGGTATAGCCCTGCGAGCCATTCGGCTCTTGAATCGGGTGCAACCGCAGCAAACAAAAAACTAAAACATGAACAAAAAACATCTTAAAGTGAATATGGATAGGACGCATTACCAAGTGTCCTGGCCCTCGCTGCTGCAGCTGCTATTACTGCTTCGGTTGTTAGCATATACGGTGCTGTAGAGTGGGGAACTTCCTCATTGCTTTGGGTTCAAGGTTCCGATCGCCGTGTTTGTGTGTGGTGGTGTGCGCGTTCCTTGCTGGGCGGGACATGTCAGGTTGCCTGGGATTAAGGCCTCACTGGGGTTGAGGTGACCCCCCATTACTCTCTCACTCCGCTAAGGTGGATTATAGAGACACGGGGGGAGGGGGGGCGTTGAGTGTATTTGAGGTCTGGTTTGCATTGATAGGCGATTTTAGGTTCTGAATCAGCCGTCGTGGTGGTATGGTGACATCATCAGCCAGGTTCTATCCACTGCTAGACGAAGACCTTTCCTCCCTCCCCCCAAAACCATCGCCACACCTCTCGTGGTCTCGCGATACAACAACGCATTTGGCTTTTCTTAACAGTCACTGTGATTGATGTCTGTATATCCACGCTTTTTTGCACGATGTTTTCGCTTTTGTTCCATTTTCGTCGCAAGTGTTTCGTGTTTCTGGTCCATATACGTCATGGCGAAATATATGCACCGATTGAAAGTTTCATAGTATCCGAAGAGGTTCAGAGTATTTCTAGATTTGAAGCTTTCGTGACTGCAATGATTCATATTCTTAGGTTTTTTCGGTAAAGTCACGTAGGTAAAACATCAAAAGTAATAAAAATAAAATAAAGATCACGACGTTTCGGAGGCAACACAAGTCTCCGTCATCAGGTGGGACCGTCACAGCCAGATTAGCTGCATCAAGTGAGGCAATGATTCAAGATGTAATCCCTTAAAAGCGAGTTGAGGGGGGAGGAGAGGGGGGGCTCATCAGAATGTGGTAGCCAATGAATGGAACGTATCGGGAGGGAGGGGGGGGCTGACGGTCCCACCTGATGACGGAGACTTGTGTTGCCTCCGAAACGTCGTGATCTTTATTTTATTTTATTTTTATTAATTTTGATGTTTTACCTACGTGACTTTACCGAAAAAAACCTAAGAATAAGGTTCAGAGTAACAAACCAATAATGACCACTGTGTATCCAATTATTCACTGTTGTTTTTATGAACTATCATTTATAGTAATATACAACATTATTGTGGCAATTATTTTCCTGGGTAAATAATTATTTTTTCCTGGGTAAATAATTGGCAGAATTTATTTAACAGGTCTGACTCAACTCAAGGCTCAATGGCTGAGACACTAACGTGTTGATTTTCTTTATTATAAGAGCCAGAGTCTCGCCTATTCCTTCAAATACTTTAATATTGGATCTTTATACATAGCGCCCTCAACCAGCAGTGGATTTACAACAGACTGTATTATTCTTTGGGTCTTTCGGTAAAGCCACGTAGATAGAAAAAAATAATATACCATCTACGTGGCTTTACCGAAAGACCCAAAGAATTTAAATTCCTGCAGTCACGAAAGCTTTAAGTCAATACTGTTTTCCCTCACTCCACTTTTGAGACTATGTGAAGTGTTGAAAGTTTGCTGACAGGTCACGGGATATACACCCACGTCATAGGTTGAACAACTGAGATGATTGACAGATGCACCGCCTGTGCTCCCCAATGACAATTGCTGTGCTTTATCCACCCGGCAATCCGCTCGTTGTTGTGTGCGTCACTCCTCTGCCCTCCTTTGTTGATGGAGCGTGACTGTCTCCAATTGCCCAGTAGCTTCCTTCACGAGCTTCCCCCACCGAGGCCGATGTCAACACCCCTGGTCATTGGCAAGTCCGTTTGGCTCCACATCCTCCTGTACCGCGTCTGCCCACGTCTCTAGCCAGTGCTGCATCCGATTAGCCCCCTCTGTGCGGCCAAACAAAAGCTGCTTAGGCATGCGGTGGCTGGGCATGCGGTGCGACATGACCCAGCCAACGCAGCTTCGCTTGGTGGAGGCGTGAGAGACCCCTACTGCCAAACTGTAGTCATAAGCACACTCCTCCACGCTTTTCAAAACTCTCCCATTGGTCACGGAGAGTAAAGAGGGTTGTGGTATTTGATGGCATAAGAAGATGCCTAGGCTCGTGCATTGTTTTTGATGAGGTTGATGGTTAAGGACCCATCTCCTCGTGGCACGCTCCAGCTTCAGCAGGTGAGTCTCAATTTTGCAATTGCCAGGTCATGAGCATGTAGGGAATCATCCCTTGACCGCACCTGGGTATTGATCAGCCTCCGATTGTGTCTGTACCAGATGGAAATTCCTCTGGTAAAACCACGGACAGCTTGAACTATGTGCTCAAAAATATGTTAAATAGTGTAGGCGCCAGAGAGCATTCTTGCCGCACCCCAAGCTGAAAAGGAAATGGCTAAGTCTCCCCACAAACAACTTTGCCAGAGACACAGAACGCATGAAGAATAACCCAGAGCTCTGGCCTCAAAGTGGCATCATAGGCCTCAACCAGGTCAATGAAGCAGGGATGTCGGTCCTCTTGAAACTTCGTACGCCTCTGCCGTAGCAGACGGACAGAAAATGTGGTGTAAGTGCATAATCGCCACCCACCCGCTCAACAGTTCTCTCTTTATAACGATTTATCCGGTCTCGTGCTCTGAATCGCTCTGCGCATTTCAACACCCGGTGGCACATCAGCCAACCACTCACAGCGTCTGGCAACTTCTTCCAATATTTCAGACATCGCAGCCCCAGCACCCAGCAGGGTCAACCTCACCCTGCCCCACGATGTTACAAAATGCATCAGGCCTATGGACACAGGTACTGCGGTTAAATCACTGCCACTTGGGTTGCGTTTGGTTGCTGTTGTATCGTACCTTTCACGGCGGTATTATACTGCCATCTGGTGGAGCAATTGAGTAATACAGCAACTAAAGACGTAAGTAATTGCGTGCTTAAATTACCAGAGGCAATATTCATCTCCTGTTTACAGCCCTCAGCCGTTAGTGGAAAAATTCCACATTGCTATGGTAGGGGACAAGTCCATCCATATGACAGCAGTAATCGATATAGCATTTATCCCTTTATTTAAGACCGAGGCAGGAGGATTTCGCCACAGCTCTGGCTGTCTGCCTGATGATGCTGGTTGTAAAAACTGATGAAACGTCGGACTCGAATTGTAAATGTCGTGGGTTTACTCTCCAACACACCGGTGCGCTGTACTAGTAACGAATGGGCACGTTCTGTTTACGTGACAAACCTTACTAATTGGCTGTGTCGGGTGGTGGCGGGTTTAACGACGCATTTATATATACGCGATCTAACGCAAACACCTCTATTATGGATTTTTTATTTACTGATGTGATCAGCTAGTGGGGGGCCTGTAGCATATGTTATAAAGGGGCCCTAAATAAAAAAAACCCAATCGACGGCGTGTGGATCGAGGCCGTCACGTGGTAGTCGTCGACGTTTTGGTAGATGTGGACTTTGTGTGTGAGTAGGTCTCATCCGTCAGTGGATTCACAAGAAGAGATTGTCAATTATTATTATTATTTTGTAACCAGCTGGCAAGGCAGAAAAAGAACAACTCGGAAATCGATTTTGTTGAAAAATACTGTGCATGTATATTTCCCCATTGGCGAAAACGTTTACACGTGAAAATATAAGTATTATTTTCTCTCTCTGTCTCTCGCTCTTCCTAAACAACAGGAACCTTGAGATGTGCACTCACACGCAGTCGTCGTGGGCCACTCTTTGACACCGCGACTGCGAGCGTGCTGACGGGTTGTTGTTGTTAAACATCGTACGTCACGTGTCATAGCCACGTGTAGGCACCACCACCACACGCAATACGCACGTATCACACGAGTGATGGTTCGTGACGTTCTCAGAGCGATTTTCTTATAAAGAACAACAACGCGACCGTCATCGTGACCGCAGCGCACACTGGCGGTGACCCACGTCTGACGTCTCCACGCGATCTCCACACGATGTCCGACGTTTCGCTTCACGCTGCGGGGCGGCTTATTCAGCTGCACGTCACGGCGAGTCCCTACGCCTGTGCAAGTTCTCCATTGGGTCTCGACTCCTCGAGCTGTCTGTCCAGACTTCGGTTCATCTTTAAGGAAGACGACAATTTCCATTGTGCACACAATGTCTTTTGGCAATTTTCCGAACGCGGCGCATCATTTACTCCCAACACGCGTCTTTGGTCCGTTTGCGTTTGCCACAATCATTGCACGGTGGCATCCTACAGCATTCCCACGAAGCGCTTGTTGCTACGTTGCACAACCGTGACCACACGAACTAAATCTTGCAATTATTCAGGAGTGACGATAACAACATTTCTGGCAGGCTCAACTGGGACACGTGGTGAGGTGATATTCCCCCCCCCCCCCTATCTTATCTAGGATTTTATATTTGACAAGAATTATAAATTATACATTAGTATTGGCATGGACACTGTGATGAGATCAGTTCACGCGTAGGAGCGAGACGGATTGTATCGTAGGATCGTGATGGCATGGAGCGGCCCTCATCCAGCAGCGGAGAGATCACGGCTCATGATGACGGTAAACCCTGTCCGCCAGGTCACACAGACCCCCCTTCGCGTGGCATTCGTTTAAAGCTTCGCAGTTCCGTGAGCGCACAAACCTTCGCTCGCAACCCCAGCTCGACCCTTTAAGCAAATGAAGTGGTCACTTACGAATTAGTGCAGACCAATTCGCATTTGCCTTGGCATTGCGCGCCACGGGAGCTGGCACAATATATACTACTTTTGAATGGGCAATTTGATACGATCATCGACACAACCATAATATAATACACGACTACAAATTCCCACGTGCTTTTTACCGCTTTCTCCAGATTATAAAAAAACGAGACACCTCCGGATTGTCAGACGCAATCCACAAAGACAAAGATCCCCCGTGTAGCCTTAACAGACTGTCGGGGCAAGTGCTGTTAGCGAACACTTATAAAGGCCGGAACGGCACTCGAGGGGGTAGGCAGCCAACACCACGCCCGGCCGTCTTTGTCTCCCCAGTGGCGATGTTTATTACACACCGCACCAGTCACTAATTAGAGGCTGAGTCGACCTAGGGGAGGCCCAGGACTCAACTCCCTCCCTGCTCTACCATCACTCCCCCCCTCTGCCCATCCACCCCCCTTTGCCCCCTGACCCGAACCCCCAAACACATATTCACTCGTACATCCTGATCTCTGGACTGCACATTGCACTACATCGCACTATCACACTGGTTTAAATATCTTATTTCTTTAAATACTTTATTTAAATAATATTTTACATTTAAAAAATTCTTGACTGTTGTTTATTTAAGTCTATTACATTTTAGATTATTTATCTTGTGTTGATCGCCGATTGTTTATTGTTTATTTATGTCTGTTAATTGTGATTAATTTTTTAATTGCTTGGTTGCACCGTGGGACCAAGAGAGAGGACTGTAATTTCATCTGTGTTGTATGTCATGCATGTAACACACTTGACAATAAAGTGACTTTAAGACTCAAGATAATCGTCCCTGGTGTTGGCCGTGAGCGGGAATCGAACCCGGGTAGCGCAGCGCGCTAACCGCTACACTACCGCTCCCCACACCGCACTGACACACACACACGCCAGAGCCTTCGCTTTAAAATCCCAAGGGTGGCACAGTCGGATTTTTTACAATCGGGATTAATTGTCTTTTTATATTAAACCCGATCATCTGAGATTGGGAGAAATCCGGTTTAATTGGTTCTAACTGCGGCATCCGAGCGGAACTTCTCAACGATGGGCTTCATCAATATTCCAAGCTCATGAACTCACTGGCGCCCACGATTGTGGAGAAGCTCGTGTTCATCAAGACCAACCTGCCCGCCGCATTCTACGACTATCCCGTGCCCGACGGCCCCCCGAGTACGATAGCAGCACCGACGAGGAAGCAGCCTAAGCCTTGGATCAGAGTTTCGTATTCATTAAACCAGCTTTTAATTCCCCGAAATCGGGTTTAATTGTATTAAAGAAAAAACCCGATGCCTGCCGCTGGAAAAATCGGGTTTGTTCCACCCATGTAAAATACATGGGTGGGGGTGGAAATGGCCTCTTATTTTCTGGAGAATACGGTAATGGCATTTCCACATACTGCCGTTAACCGGATCATCGTGTGCTTTAATTGCAAGCGGTGGTGTAAAATGTGTTATTATTATTATTTCAGGAGTAAAAAAAAACTGCGTTAAAACTAAACGGCTATACATATTTAGACTTGGCGGGTAGTTCAGTCCCGGTCGCAAAGGAATCACAGCATTTAATAGATGTTGGCATACGACCACAATACGCACGCCCTCCCTCTCTCTGGCATAAATTCTTTTTCTTTTAAACAAACACGTCGTCGAAACGTTCAATGTCAGGGTAGTTTCTTTTCACCGTTAAATAACTCGAATGTTATTAAACACGAGGCTTTCTTTCCACAGCAGCAGTGGACTGCGACGATTACAACGCTGAATTAAGACACTGATTGACGTAATGAACATTGCAATTACAGTGGCGTGCATCCTATTTGCAAAGACTTGGAAGACTGTTTAACACGTAGGCTTTCGCGACCAATATTATTCATAATCAACGTTTTTGGGTTAGATCGCGTTATTTATAAATGTGTCGTAACCCTCCACCTGATGAGTTAAATGATGACGTCACCCTGCTGCTGCTCTATTTAAGACCGGGAGCAAGAGCAGAGCCTCACCATTCTGGCGAATTGCCCGATGATGCTGGATGCAATTACCAGCGAAACGTCGTACTCAAATATTTTTTTTGTAAATGTTGTGGTTTCACGCTTCAACACACAGGTGCGCTAAAGCAGTGAACTATTTATCTTTTGTCACCGTGACACTTTCTTTGCTGATTAGCCCTGTCTTGTGGTGAAGGGTTACGACACATTTATAAATAACGCGATCTAACCCAAAAACGTTGATTGTGGACTTGGAAGACTAATTACTTTGCGTTCAATGCCTTCTGGGATGTGAGCCCACTCCCCCATTGTAAACCGCCCGCTAGTTTCAAATCAATGTTGGTCTGGCCGCTGTGAGCCTCTCTCTCCGAGTCGTCCACTCTAGTTGGTTGACAAGCGGAGCGAGCAAGTGTTGTGTGTGTGACTTGAGCTACCGATGGGTTCATTCGTATACGCCGACACCCAACCCAGTGGCGCGGTGGAAAATATTCACAAGCCACACTCGCCGATGTCAATGAGTCCTTGGTCCTGCAACCCCCCCCCCCCCACAGCTCCCATAGTTGGTCCTCCGGGGGCTTCATTGGCGCTGTCACCCTCTGCACCTCCACCGCCCATGAACTTTGTTGGCGCTGGTCCCTTAGTCATCTTTGAACCTCATCTGCAACGAGCGATGTCGTGCCGAGGCCCCACACGTGTGCTTCGTCGGTGACGGACATAAACTATTACAAACTACATCATGGGACCTCCTTTGCCAGTACCAAAATATGAGAATTAGGTTTTTCCCCTTTTTTCTGGCAACAAAACAGGTGTTAAGAGTTTGATTTAAAGCTTTCGTGACTGCAGGGATTCGTATTCTGGATTTCACACCTGATGATGATTGCTTGTGTTGCAGTCGAAACGTCGTGAGAATTTTTATTGTTTTATATTTATATTATTTTATTATTTCCCTTCTACGTGACTTTACCGAAAGAACCAAGAATATAGGTGTTAAGATGTTAAAACACCAAACTGAAACCTTTTACAAGGAATCATGCCTGCATTAACCACAATGCTTGTGGTCGGAATGCAAACAAAAAACATACTCTGATAATATATGCATTGTCTTTGAAACTTATTGGTCCAAACCAGAGACAGCTTTCTTTTGAGCCTCGTCTCAAACGGTGTTAGACCAGAGGACGCCTTTTGGCATCTTAACACCTGTTTTGTTGCCAGAAAAAAAGGGGAAAAGCCTATTATCATATTACAAACTAAACTATATTTTTTATTTTACCACGTAAGGCCCACTGAGCTACGTAGCTCTTTTACGGAAGCGACCTGGCCCACAGATGGCAGCTCAACAAAGTGGCTTATCGCGTGGAAATTTACTCCGCACGTTGATTTTAAATGTGGAGGGAAAAGCCGGAGGGACCTGGAGAAAAGTCCACGCGACCACGGGGAGAGAGAGAGAAACACGCAAACTCCAAATATACAGCAGGCGCCAGGGTCAGAATCGAACCCCCGACCTCCTGTATACCTGGCGAGTTAGTTAACAACTCGCCACCGTGTCACCCTTTGCTGTATCTCTCTGTCTTGTGACGGTTATCTGCCTACTCGTTTTTAGCGGTCACCCAGCTACTGTCCGGAGTACGGTAGCTCCTCGCTTAACGCGCGGTGTTCACACAACATAACGCTGAACGCGCAACCGTTATAACGCGGTTTCTGAGCGGTCAACGGCGAACTACTTTCTTGAGTTGCGGATACAGTAGGCGGAATGATCGAGGAACGCGGCGGCGTACCCTCAGTGATTGGTCCCGCCATCTCACTCTGTCTGTGTGTCCATCGTATCTCGCCGACCTTTATCGTCGCATTATTTTTGGGTAATTTTTTTCGCTTAACGTAGCACTTTTCAGGAACGCATCTCCTCCTAGCGCGTCAAACCCGGACTTGTACTATCTGTCTGTCTTATAACTACTAGTATCTGTCTGGTCTACAGCTGTATCCAGATAATGTCCAGGCAATAACTGGCTACCTCGTGGTTATCACCTGCATCGTATCTGCCTTGTTATTTGGCTGCTATCCTGGCGAGCACCTGGTCAGTGTTCAGCTATTCTATTATTGGCTAGCATCTGGAGTGCATGTGGCCAGTAATCCACACAGCGATGGGCTTACCAGCTCCATAGGGCCCAGCCAGGCGGCACATGCCCCTGGCCACGTGCCGATTGCCCTGAGTCCTGCTGCTCACCGCCGCCTCCTTCGGCCGCGAGGGACCGTGTCCACGCTGTCCCGGCTCCTGCAGTGATCTCATTGGCACCTCCTGGGACCCCCTTTGTCTTTCGCTTCATAACTCCCGTTGATTCCGGCTTGCATTTGTGTTGGTCCCTGGCTTGTATCTGCTGTGCATCTGACTTCAATCTGGATTTTATTTGTTTAGCATCCACATTGTATATGGATAACATCTGATTTGTATCTACCTTACACCTGACTAATATGTGGATAGTTTCTGTTTTACTGGTAGGAACGGCCAGGTTACACAAGCCAACAGGGGATTATTGTGTCCGTCGTCTAGGGAGGGGCTGGGTGGGGAGGGAGGGGCTGGGTGGGTGGGGAGGGTGGGGCTGGGTGGGGAGGGTGGGGAGGGTGGGAGGGGTGGGGAGGGGCTGGTCACCCCATGGTGCCCTTATACAACTCAACGTTTAACCTACTCACGCCGGCTTGTGCCCGCCCTCACAGTCGGGCATATTTGCGGAATACACCACACCGCCGTTGACCCTGGCCATTGACCGAGCAACCCAACGTTCCTACCAGCTCCCTCCGCAGGAATGTGTTTATATTGGCCTCGCATCCATGGTGAATCCGGCTAGTATCCGGTTGTGATCCAACTTGGATCCGACTTGCATCCGGCTTACATCTGGTTCATATCCCGGCTTGCATCCACCTTGCATTTGGCTTCTATTCATCTGGTATATCTGGCTTGCATCCACCTTGCATCTTGCTCGTATCTGGCTAGTATCTGGTTTGCATCTGGCTTTGTTTGTGTCTGCCTAGAATCCTGCTGGGTAGCCCCCTTTGCGGGAGTCCGACTGGGCCGTCCAGTAGTTGCCATCGCGCAGGATGGCTTGCACCACGGATCCGGCTGAGTCTGTCCACTCAAGGTCCTGGTTCCTCTGCTGCAGTCCGCTCGCCACAACCTGCAAAGTCATTCACGCGGTGTCACGAAGGGCGCAGTGTCTCGCAGGTGAGTACAGTATAGTCAGCAGTGGGTTTCACAGTCGGGAGCGATGTAAGCCGGGCACTGTGGAGGCGAGGGTTGATAGATGTTGCGAAACTCCCTCCCTGTGAGAGTCAAGGAGGTGCTATACCCTGGCTCGCCAGGAGGAGGCAGTACAGCGACAATGTGGACTCCACGTGGGACTCCGTCTGTATGGGATCGAGTGTCTCGCCCTCGCACGCGCCGGTTTTCTCCAGGTCCTCTGATTTTCTCCAAAATGTAAACACTCATTAGTTGACCGATAACACCTCAGAGCTTGGGTGCCTTCCTGCTCGTCTGCAGTTCCTCACGCCTCTGAGTCGTTCTCTACGGGAGTGAGCGAATTCCGCGTGGCGCTTTACAAATTTAAATGTTATTATTAATTATTCTGTGGCTTTACACACTGAAGAAATGCGCAAGTATTTTTTTTTTCTAATATGCAAAATTTTAACCGTGATATGACACGGGCACACGTGGCCGACCCTCTGGAGAACAACGTCACGGCATCTTTGACATCCACCGCGAAGCAGACGGCCCGCATGTTTTACGGTCGATTCAACCCGCAGTATTAACCAGGGCGGACACTGGGCTCGAACCGCGAAGCTCTGCAACGAGCGGCAGCTAATGCGCTACCGTTCGGCCACTTGAGCTGTGGCGATGGTTGTGGTAGCAGCAGCAGCAGCAGCAGCAATGAGCCCCAACGATCCCTCCAAGGTGTGGCAACCGCAATATTTTCGGCTGAGATGGACATGAGCTGGCTTGTCAATGATCCAGGTCTCCTCCTCCAGCAGCCAAACCGTGAGCAAACCATCGCCATGGCTCATGGATTCTCTTTTCGCGGATGGGTGGGAATGTTTTTTTAGCCAAGTCAATCGACAGGCGCGCGACGTGCGGCTGACTTTAGCCGCCGTGAGCTCTACGTGCCACATCCGAGAGTCTGGTTGCCTCGTGTGGCGAGGGTTAGTGGTTGGGCTAGTGTGGTTCATGTGGCTAGGGCAATTGTGAGGGTTTGGTTTGTTATCTTGGCTAGGGTTAGTGATAGGGCTAGTGTGGTTCATGTGGCTAGGGCAATTGTGAGGGTCACTCGGTGCCGGGATCGCGCTCGCGGCAGTCTCTCACCTCGTCGAACCCTTTCTCGACCTCCGTGACGTTGGGCATCAGCTGGTTGTGAAGCCTCTTGTGCTCGACCGAGCCCACCACGTCCATGCCGAACCACAGCGCGTTCGCGATGACCTGGTACGCGGTTCGAGCGATAGCAGGGGGGGAGGGGGGGTGAATCATAGCGAGCCCCCGGCTAATACGAACGGCTCGCGATAGCCCACGGCGGTCACGTAGCGCCGGTGGCGGGAGGCTTGGGGTCATTCGCCACCGACGAATGACCCCAAGCCGGACTCGGCAAGAGATGGGGCAGGGTCATCGCTGGCGGAGCTACGCGTGGTGGGCTGACCTGACCGGTAAACCCGGGGCCCTTGGACGCCATCGGCCTACAGCGACGTGGCTTTGCCAGCTGAATCTTTGCCCTCCCTTGTTTTCAGATGTTCATTGTCTTAAAAAGACATTTGTCAAGTTAATGAATGTGTTAAATTATTTATTTCACTGCCCTCCCCCACCACCTGCCCCCTCCCCACTCTCCACCCACCCCTCCCACCAAACAAAAATATTTATCAACTCAAAAACATTTGCATTTGGCTCGCATGATACCTGCTCACCGATTCACTCACCCGCTTCACCAACTCAACCACACACCCACCCACTCACTCAACCACCTCACTTGGACACACGCTTTCCTACTCGCTTACACACGCAGACCCACTCACCAACTGACCTGCCCGCTCTCTTTCTCTCTCTTTCTCTCTCTTGCCCACCCACTTACCAGCTCTCACTCTCTCTCTCTCACTCACCAGCGCTGTGCCGGTGGTGATCTTGGTGCCTCCGGACGCTCCCACGATCAGCTTCACCCGGCTCTGTTTGTCGACAATCAGCGTTGGGCACATGGACGACAGCGGCCTCTTCCCTGCACGCAGAGATCCACAAAGGCAACGGGTCTCTCGTGTAGCCTTAACACACTGTTGGGGCAAGTGCCGTTCGCGAGTTACACCTATGAAGGCCGGCACGGCACACGAGGGTGGCCAGCACCACGCCGGACCGCAGTGTCTCCCCAGTGACGATGTTTACACACCGCACCAGATACTCATTTGAGGCTGAGTCGACCTAGGGATGGAGGCACACTACCGGTTCATATTATCATCACCGGTGTTGGCCGTGAGCGGGTATCGAACTCGGTTCACCGGGTTGTTTTAACGGCGACAGCCACGAGACGGAATGGGGACCAGCGGCCTCTGTACGAGGTTAACGAGACGCAAAACTGTGGAAAGTTCTGACCCACCCGTTGCTAGTTGGCAGCAATGTCTGCCGTGTAGCAAATGATAATACTAACTTAATATAATAATGTACACTTGTTTAGCGCCTTTTATACCCGGAGGTCAGCAAAGCGACTGTAGGAGACACACTCCCCACACACACACGCAGGCTCACAGCAATCCGATCCAACCCCAAAAAGCAAAATGATTCACGGAATAGAAAGCGCCCTTAAAAAGAAGTTGCGTCTTTAGGCGCGATTTGAAGCGCGTCCCAGGGGAAGTGAATTCTATAGCCTGGTGGCGTGGGGGGGGGCACACGAGGAACAGGTATGATCACCCATCATCATCGTCGTCATCGTACAGAGACGCGTGGTGAAGTATGCGCGTAAGGCCTTCCCACCCCTCACCCCTCCACTCCTTCCCGTCCCTCCTCTACAGCACTTTCGTGACCCCCACGTGACCTCTGTTACGCTCACTCGTTCCTTAGCCCTTGCACGCCGCTTGCCATCGAAGGCACTCTTTGTTTTTGTCACCGCCCTTTAAACTATATAAACCGCCTTGAACTACGGCACTCTACAAATATATAATAAGATGACTCACGGGGCATAGGGAAAAGGTTGGGGATATTTATTTATTTATTTATTTTAACAGATATATTTTCACTCAAATTGCGTCCCCACACTAAAAACAAACCTCGTTCCAAGGTCGTCCGCACTGGCGGTCCTGAACCGTTGGTGGAAATTCTCCCGACTGACTTCCGAACAAAGTGGTAGGGTAGTTGTTTTATCGATCTGTTAGGGATGATGGGCCAGTGTCTCTCCACTGAGTTCACGGACTACAGCCCGTATGTATGCTGAACTTCTTTCGCACCTTACGTAGTTAACCGTGGTAATCGGAGGTGCGGGGCGGGGGAAGGACAACAAATGCGAGACCTCGGCACGCGTACACACACACACAACAGGCCAGACTTGGAAGAACCCAAGTGCTCTTGTTGTTGCAACACGTGGTGGCGAAGGAGGTCCTGGTTGGCTACGTGCGGTTACGAAAGAAAGTTCAAGGGGCACCATCGTTGGAACGAGCGGCTCCGTGGCCTTTGCCTGGGAGAATGGGGATGGTTTAGTTTCATTTGTAAGTTCTTGGGTGATTTGTTTGACTTTCCTGTCACTTGCACCGCTATCGTGTTTTTATCTCATTTCTTGTTGTGACGTTCTTACCCCGTGCACCTACTGGACATCTGCGAAAAAGAGCTTTATAGCCTATCGGATTCCTCCTCCTGTTCTAAATAAATATTCCGATGATTCCGATTCTGATCCTCACCGGGCCTGATGAAGTTCGCCGGCGATGGGGGCACCCCGAAGCCGTTGACGATGTGCGGCGAGGAGAAGTCGTCCATCTCGTTGTTGAAAATGATTCCGGTGGAGGGGGACCGCACCTTGGAGCCGAAGCTGCGGGGGGAATGAAAAGAAAGAAACGGACGGAGCGATGAGGCGGACCGGAGAAAACCCGCCCGGTCGGCCGCGATCGACGGTCGCGGGCGAAAATCTCGCCGTAGCGCGGCAGATTCTGAAGCGGCGTCGGCGAAGGCGCGAAAGCGACGAGGGACGACGCTCAACGGCGACGGTGAAAAGAATCGGCGCGAAAAATGGCAGCGGTGCAACCCACCCAGCTATTATTCGCATGATTCAAGTGGCAGGCAGATAGAGGGGGAAATTACCGAAGAAAGAGGGAGACACTCCACGCATTTATTTACCCTATATTTATATTTGACTCTATACAGGGCAAGGGGCAGGAGAGGGAGGGGAGGGAAGTGACGACACAGAGGTGAGGACACTGCCCTATGAACCCGGGTACATGAGTGCAATTTCCAGCCATGGCTAACCTTGTTTGATCTCGTCAAGGATCGTAAACCATCATCACGCGAAGTCCGGTCATCCTCGCAGCAGCAGTTTTTGGCTGGCCATCGAACAATGACGGTCACCGCATCGCGCGCTTTCAGATACGATTCTGCGGCCGTTCTACTTCCGATATTAGGAAGCTACCGGGGCCATGCATTTTTAAATCATCTCGATTGAAAATTCATTCCTTTAGAACTGCTTTTGGCGGTTTGTTTGTTATCCTTCCCCCATCCCCCGCACCTCTGAGTAGCACGGTTGACTATTACGGTGCAAGAGAAGTTCAACATACTTTCATTTATTTGCCCTATATATATGTAATTCTATATGCGCTGTGTATATGTTTAGGGCAAGGGGCAGGAGAGGAGGGGGGGGGGAAGTGGCGACGCAGCGGTTGGGACACTGCACTATGAACCCGGGCACATGAGTTCGATTCCCACAGCCACGGCGAACGTGAGTAGCGAGCGACATCTGAAGCAGTCGTATTTGGTCAAAAACAACAACAAACAACAACAATTCTAGACTTGAAGCTTTCGTGACTGCAAGGAATCATATTCTTAGGTGTTTTCGGTAAAGTCACGTAGGTAAAACATCAAAATTAATAAAATAATAAAATAAAATAAAGATCACGACGTTTCGGGGGCAACACAAGTCTCCGTCAGTAATCTCTTCATTGTTCAGCCAGCATTGGTATAAACATACGCATTTTCTTTTCTTTTCTATCATGTGTATCAGACCTCCCCCTCCCCCCTCTCTGTCCAATGCGTTGGCGTGGGCAGCAGTGTGTCGCTTGCGCACAATCGCTTCCACGCCGTCGCCCACCCTTTTTTGGCCCCTCTCTCCCGATACTTTCCATTCATTGGCTACCATATTCTGATGAGCCCCCCCCTCTCCTCCCCCCCTCAACTCGCTTTTAAGGGATTACATCTTGAATCATTGCCTCACTTGATGCAGCTAATCTGGCTGTGACTGTCCCACCTGATGACGGAGACTTGTGTTGCCTCCGAAACGTCGTGATCTTTATTTTATTTTATTATTTTATTAATTTTGCTGTTTTACCTACGTGACTTTACCGAAAACACCTAAGAATAAAACAACAACAACAAAAAAAACCCCTTTAACTCCCACGAGGGGGGGGGGGGGGGGTTGGGTGGGAGGTCAATTCTGTAAATAGTTTAAGAGTTTTAGATTTCCAGGAACTGATCGCTATGGTGCTGATATGTTAACTGTCTTGCCTGGTACACAGGAGGTTGTGGGTCGGATCGCGTCCCTGACGCCTGCAAATTTGGAGTTTGCAAGTTCTCCCCGTGGTCGCGTGGATTTCTCTCCAGGCCCTCCAGGTTTTTCCCTCGACGTTTAGAATCAACATCAGCACGCGTTCAAAGTATTTGGCTGCTGCAAATGTCCACGCGACAAGCCACTTTCGTTGGGCTATCATTTGTGGCAGCCAGGTCGCTTCTGAAAAATAACTAGCTAGCTCAGTGGGCCTTGCCTGGTCAAAATAAAAACATGGGAAAAGAATTCCTCCGGCCGTGGCCGTGCGGCGCCCTCTCACTAGAAGTTGATGGTGCTGGTCACGGAGACGGCGCTGCCGTCAGGCCCCACCACCGACAGGTGCGCCGTGCCGCTGTCGTCCGGCACGTAGAACGTCGGCTCGTAGTACTCCACGCCGTGCGTCGCGTTGTCCCAGATCTTCTGCCGCAGCGCTTCGGCAAAGTCCTTCGACGTGACGTTCTTCATCAGCTGATGCGACGCCGGGGACGGGGGGAAGAGACGTGACAGGGAGAGATGGATCGATCCGATCGCTCCGAACGTTTTAAAGCTTTCGTGACTGCAGGGATTCATCTTCTTGGTTCTTTCGGTAAAGTGACGTAGAAGGGAAATAATAAAATAATAAAAATAAAACAAAATAATTCTCACGACGTTTCGGGCCACAACGCAAGCAGCCGTCCTCAGGTGATTGATACATCGCACCTGAGGACGGCTGCTTGCATTGTGGCCGAAACGTCGTGAGAATTATTTATTACGTTTTATTTTAATTATTTTATTATTTCCCTTCTACGTGACTTTACCGAAAGAACCAAGAAGACGCTCCTAACGTGTTTTTACAACGTCCGATTATTTAGGTCGCTCGCGAGTGCTTGCGCGCACGAGCGAACGAGTGGGCGAGCAAACGAACGAGCGAGCGAGCGAGGGGTTGTGGGCCGGCTCGGAGGTCCGTACGTCGGTGAGGTTGACGAAGTTGGGGTCGCCCAGCTCGGTGCGCTTGGCGTAGGCGAACTTGAACGCCTCGACGATGCGGTGGTAGGTGAGGGACTTCTGCTCCTCGCCCAGGCTCTGCGGCGTCATCTTGTAGCCTGGAGCGCAGAGACGAGAGGCGCTCGATATGGGATTGTCGTCATCGTCGTCGTCGTCGTGAAATGATCTATCCGCTGCTGGATGAAAGCCTCCCCAAGCTGTTGCCATCTCTCAGTTGTGCGATGTATCAATCCCCACCTAGCACCGCCACGTGAGCTGACTCCCCCTGCGTTAGTGTCGAGGAGATGCCATGAACCTGGCTCACCAGGAGAAGGCAGGAGTGCGAATATTTATTCATACTGCAGGAGGAATCCGATGAGCTTCAAAGCTCTGGTTCACTGATGTCCAGTAGGGGCGGGTCAGAATGTTACAACAACAACGAATAACTTTACAAAGCTACAAATAAAAATATACTTTTTTTTCATCTTACCAGGTAAAGCCCACTGAGCTGATTAACGTATTTTTCAGAAGCGACCTGGCCCACAAATGATAGCTCAACAAAGTGGCTTGTCATTATGCAAATTTATAGCGGCCAAAAAATGTATAATACTCGTCTAACAAACAAAAAAAGTTATAATATTAAAAGCACGTTTCTGGGGGGGGGGGGGGGGGGAGGTCGACGGTGGAGGCTCACCGGCGAGAATGTTGAGGATGAGGGTGAGCACGGGGCCGCTGGAGGGGGCCGGGGGGGTGAAGATGACGTAGTCGTCCAGCTCGGTCCGCAGCGGCTCCAGCACGAGCTCTGCCTGGTACCGCTCCAGGTCTTCCATCGTCACGATGCCACCTGGTGAGAGACGGCGACTAAAGGGTGAAGATGACAACCCCCACCCCCCCGTGTTGCCCTCTGTTGGGGCAAGGGCTGTCAACGAGCGCAGACGAAGGCCGGCAGAGCACGGAGGGGGGTGGGTGGCCAGCACAGACCCGCCGGCCGCCTTTGTCTCCCCGAGCGGCGATGTTTACACATCGCACACCAGGCTGGGTTGACCACGCACGCGCACTGGCAGGCACCGCACAGGACGCACACACACAGGTGTAGGGGTTATTACGGGAGAAACGGCGGACAACAAACACAGGGCTGTCGGCACTCACATACACGGGGGGTCACACCGACGTCCGCATCAGTTATTGCCCACGCCCCCAGCCCTCGGAGGCGATCCCTATAAAAGGTGGAACCCAAAGAGCTCGAGGCAGTTCGACACGAAGCTGACCAGTGAAGATCCAAGACTCGGAGATTAGGCCCTGGGACTCCCCGGTCTCGCCGTCCTTATAAGGGCCGAGCCGGGTAAGCCAGTGGCGCGGCCCAAGAGCTTCCAGACCGCTGCCCTTATCAGGGCAAGGCTGGTTAGCTGGTGCCGAGATCTGTGCTTGCCAGGGCCAGATCAGTCAGCCTCCCGTAGCCCAGTAGAGGAGGACTGGGGGACAGGACAGAGGGCTTAGTACTAGGGTGGGTTTCCCATAGTACGGGTGAAGGGGCCGATACCCCTTCAACTATTGTATCTGTCCCGGAGTTAATAAACAGTGTGTCTCAACTTCCTCATCGTCTCCTCATCAACTTACTACATCTGGTGTTGGAAGTGGTCCAAGCATGGATACGAGACGGAAGACTCGTGCCCAAGACCCAGGAGAGGATGACGACGAGGGAGGGGCAGTGCAAGACATCGCCGCCGACGTACCTGCACAACTGCTGCCGGCTCCGACATCGGCGGGGTCGTCGGAGAGGGCCGGGACGTCGACTGACGAGTTGGCGTTGGCTCACTCGCGGCTGGCGGAGCTCTTGTATGCAGCGGCCGCTATGCTGGAACAAATAACTCGCCTGGGGCCGGGAGGAGCGACGCGGCGGGAAGATGGACAACGCCCGCCAGAAACTCCCGCCTTTACAACAGCGGGGCGACTCGAAAATCCCGCCACGAAGACAGTAGGGGCGGAGGGAGGAGTCCCAGCTCGTCACGCGGGAGACGGTGCCCAGCCAGCAGCCGCCACGTCATCGGCGGAGGCGGGTCGCGGTGGCGGCCTATCAGGGGTTGAAACGTCACCACCAGCTGACGCCAGCACCGACCATACAGTACGGGGACGCGCTACGGATGCTGCAAGAGACGCTGCAAGAGGATCGGAGACGGAGCCGACATTCCAGCAACGCCTGCCGGCCCTGCAGGTATTTGTTGCAAGCGACGGCGATTGGGGGGGGGTTCCAGCGCCGGTTCTTGGCCCACCAAGAGATGGCAGGCTGGTCGGACAACGAGGCGCTGTGTGCTCTCCCGGCGTTATTGGACGGCGACGCCCTGGGCACCCTCACTGCTGCACCCAAGTCGGCACGCTCCACCATTCAGTCGGCGCTGCAGCTGCTGGCCACCGTTTATGGGCCGCCCTCCGATTGTCGCCAGCTCTTCTATGAACGGCAGAAGGGTGATAAGGAATCGCCACTCGCTTATCGCACGGCCCTGCTGTCATTGGCGAAAGACGCTTTCCCGCGTATGGATGAAGAGGGGATCGATGCGATGGTGGCCGAGAAAATTTTGCTGCTGGCTGACGATCTGGACTTCACCATCTTAGCACAGGACGATGCGGATATGTCATCACTGCGGGCTGCAAGGCACATTCACGCCAATCTCATCTCCCAGCGGAGGAAGGCGAACAAAGCTGCTGCACGACACACCATGGCGGCAACCTCTTCTGGAATGGAGGGAGCCTTCGCTGCGGATCGTTCTGCAGGATGGCGATCTGCCGAGCGACCGGCTCGGGACGTTCCAAGCCACCGAGACCAGCCCAAGTCCTCTGGAACGCTCGTCGTCTGCTATAATTGTGGCATCCGGGGCCACGTGGCGTCCGGATGCCGGGCTCCTCGACAGCGCGGTGCGAGACCTGGAGCTGCGGACGGCCCTCCTCACAAGCCTTCGCAACATCCTCGGGCAAGTCATGGCACCCCACATGTTCGGCCTGCACACACACCCACTTTCCTATCACATGGTCCGATACACAATTCTCGGGGGTTGGGTGCTGGTGCGTCGGGTCGCGGCATGTCGGGGAGGGCGCTCCAACCGGGCCAATGGTCCGAGTTGGCTCACCGAGTTGTGGCTGCATCAGCGGGGTCGTCCGTTGTCGCGGGGCATATTGACGGGGTGGAGGTATGGCTATTGGTCGATACAGGAGCTTCGGCAACTATCATTTCAGATTTGATTTATAATATCCTGCCCGTTCAGAGTCGCCCGTTGCTCCCTGTCGATATACCGTTTTACGCTGCGAATGGGGGCTCGTTGGGTATTATCGGTCAAATTCGAGCGCAAATTTCGATAGGGGACATTAAACTATCTGGCCCGGTGTTCGTCTCCTCCTCGCTGGCTATTCCGTGCCTGTTGGGGACAGACTTTTTGGCCAAATTGCCCATCAAAATTCTGATTGACCAGCAATGCATCGAGCTTCCATCGGGCCGACGTATGACGTTCCTACCTGCCACCCCTGCCGTGCGTGTTGCCTGTGCTGCGGTACAGGCGCTTGTTGCTCGGACGGTGCGTATACCCCCGGGGGCACAGATGTTGGTACCCCTGCGCTTGCGTCGACCGTTCGATAAAGGAGTCTGACCGGGGCGTTATTTTGGGACCATCTAGAGCCGGGGTGAGTGGGCCAGATCTGGTGACGGCCCAGACTATTGTTAAAGGGGATGGGGACCCGTTTATCGCGGTCCTCAATGTCGGGACACGGACGGCAGTGGTTTCGCAAGGTACCGTGTTCGCACATGCGGTTCCGGTACCTGCGGAAACGCCGATCATTGGCCAGGTGGCCACCGATTCTCAAACGCGATTAGCCTCAGACGCTGACGAGGTTTGGCTGGATGCGTTGTGTGCTGAGTCACCTGACCTGTCTGACGCACAACGTGCTAGATTACGCGCCTTATTGCGAGAATTTTCCGACGTCTTCAGTAAACACAAATACGATATCGGATGTACCAAATTGCTACGCCACCATATTGACACCGGTGACAACGCTCCTATCCGCCAAAATCCTTTTCGGTTAAGTCCCGCCGAAAAGGATCATGTCAAATCGGCTGTAGATGACATGTTGAAATCGGACATCATTTCTCCCTCGACCAGCCCTTGGGGTGCACCCATAGTGTTGGTCAAAAAGCACGACGGGTCCCTAAGGTTCTGCGTTGATTTCCGGCGATTAAATAAGATCTCGGTGGCCGATGCTTATCCGCTTCCTCGAATGGACGAATCGCTGGATGCCCTCGCGGGATCGCGATTCTTTTCCACTTTGGATTTGCTCTCAGGATTTTGGCAACTTCCCTTGGACGACGAATCTAGGCCCAAAACAGCTTTCCGAACGCCGCACGGCCTCTTCCAATTCATTCGCTTACCCATGGGATTACACTCTGCTCCCGCGACGTTCCAGCGCCTGATGGAATTGGTCCTCGCTGGCTTGCAATGGGAGGTGTGTTTGATTTACCTGGATGACGTTATCGTATTCAGTAAGACGTTCGAGGAACACCTTGATAGGCTTCGGGCCGTCTTTCTCAAAATGCGCGCTGCTAATTTGAAATTCAAGCCACAAAAGTGCCATTTGCTGCGCGAATCTGTTAAATATTTGGGTCACATCGTCGGCCGGTCAGGTATCTCAACCGATCCCGCCAAAACGCGTTGTGTCAGCTCCTGGCCTATTCCCACCTCGGTGGGGGAGGTTAGAAGCTTCATCGGCTTTGCTTCATATTACCGCCGGTTTGTTGCGGACTTTGCTTCCATCGCTAAGCCACTACATGCCTTGACGTCAAAAGGGGTCAAATTTCATTGGGGGCCGGTGGAGAACGCCGCTTTTGTCTCTCTTCGGGATGCCCTGGTGGGGGCCCCGCCGTTAAGCTACCCCGATTTTTCCATGCCGTTCGTGCTCGACACGGACGCAAGCAATACCGGGATTGGAGGCGTGCTGTCACAAATTGTGGGTGGCGTGGAGCGCGTTGTGGCTTATGGTAGTAGAGTACTGTCCCCGGCCGAGCAGCGGTACTGCGTCACCCGCCGCGAACTGTTGGCTATCGTGTTCTTTATCCAACAGTACCGGCCATATCTGTACGGCCGGCATTTCACCGTCCGTACAGATCATGCAGCGTTGCAGTATGCCCTACGAATTAACCAGCCATCGGGGCAGTTGTCCCGATGGCTCGAGATCATGCAGGATTTCGATTTTGAGACAACTTACCGAAAGGGGATTCGCCACACCAACGCCGATGCCCTATCACGCCTGCCGATCGCCCCGGATTGCACTTGTTTCTTGGGTTCGGGCCGTTGCAAATCGGCAAGTGACGGCCGGGATCGGGTTCTTGCGGCCGCAGTTGATACTCCTTCGGACGCTGGTCCTATTTCAGAGGGTGGGAGTGATTCCCTACTTGGCTTGTCAAGTACTGAGTGGGGTCGCCTCCAAATGGAGGATGCGACCCTCCTGGCGCTACGACGTCGCGCGGAAGGATCAGGTCAAGGGAAGTCGGGCGTTGACTCATGGGGGTGGTGCCAGGGCTTACTCATGCATTGGGACGGGACGATCCGCCGTCACAGGCTGGTGGTGCCTTCCACGTTGAGGGGTAGGGCTGTATGGGCTGCTCATGAACGGCTCCTGCACCTGGGTACCCTCAAAACACTTGCCATGCTCCAGCTTAATTACTTTTGGCCGGGCATGGCAAGAGACGTGGACGATCTGCTGCGGTCCTGTACCCAGTGTGCACAACGGAAGCCGCCGGCGAAGGGAGCCAGTCCACCGCTCCAGTCCATTTCGGTCACCCGGGTTAATGAGCTGGTCGCCCTTGATATTTTGGGACCGTTTCCTTCCACGCCGAGGGGTAATAAGTACCTGCTGGTTGGCGTGGAATATTTCACGCGATGGCCTATGGCTTGGCCCCTCGCCAACCAGTCCGCAGCGGCCGTTGCGGAGGCTTTTGTTCAGGGCTACGTCCTCGACAAAGGCGCTCCGGAACGGTTGTTGACCGATCAGGGAAAGAATTTCACTAGTACCCTTTTACACGAGGTATGTGGCCTTCTGGGTACAAAGAAAGTTCGTACCTCGCCTTACCATCCACAAACGGATGGGATGGTGGAACGCTTGCATAGGACTCTTACGTCCATGCTATCCCACCAGGTATCTGAGTCCCAAAACGATTGGGATCTACGGATCGGGGGAGTCCTGGCGGCATACAGGATGGCTCCTCACGCGGCGACCGGGCTCTCGCCATTTTTTTTGATGTATGGTCGCGAGGTTGACCCGCCTGTCGCGACTCAGCTGACGATTGCCGCGCCTCATGCTAAGTCGAAAATCGCCGACCATGTTAAATTTAACATCCTTCACTTGGCGGAGGCACGGCAGGCGGCCATGCAAAACTCTGACTCTCGCCAGAAACAAAACGAGAGATTGCGGTCGCGCCGGACTCACACGCACGAATGGCACCCGGGCGACCGAGCATGGTTGCACTGCCCTCAGGTGCCATTGGCCACCTCGGCTAAGTTGTTGCGACCATGGAGGGGCCCCGTTGAAATTGTGCAGGTTGTGCGGCCTCAATGTGTGCGCATTAAGTGGGGGAAGCGTCGGTGGTTTGTGCACCCTTCACGGTTAAAGCCATTTTTTGTTCCGCACGCTTCCTCCCACGTAAACGGCCGAACATGTGGGGAGTCCTCTGACTCCGGGGGGGCGGGATCGATGCCAGCCTCTGATCCACTAATGACTGTCCCGTCTTCAGGAGCCCCAGGACTGAAGCCCTCTGGGCTGCCAGCCTCCCCCGTGGGGGGCGGCGCTGGCACGTCCGGGAAACCGGACGACCAGGCACCTGCTGATGCGACACCTGCCACCGACTCATACAAGCCGGCCCCTTGTGACGGGCCCGCTGCACGGACTCGCGCCAAAACGCGCCGGTTGTTATGATTAGCTTTCCGCGCGTGTTCCGTTGCTGCGGAACCCGCTCATTGTATATATGTTTTTTTTAATGGTTGTATGTGTGTGTGATAACGATGACCACGCTATCTGCTTGTTGCTTGCTGTCCATGTAAGTGTGTGCGTGTGTTGGGAATGGACGGAGAGTCTGCTGTGGTTGCTGAGTTTCAAAGGGAGTGTGTGCGCTGCTGCGTGGAGTTGTTATCTTGATGGTAAAGTTAATTATTAACGTGGGAGCGTCGGGTATCCTGTGCTGTACCATCTCGTGGGTCACCGTGCGCGATGGGCTTAATTGAAAAAAAAAATTTTTTTTTTCGGCTGTATTATGCTGCGAGGTGCTGTGTGCGATGCGGTCGTTGCATGAGAGGGAATAACTGTGTTGTGGTTGAAAAGTTACGACGGGATTGATGGTGTGTTGGTCGCCTGCAGATTTGCTTGCTATTGTGCTTCAATGTACGCGTGTGATCGCGATATGCTGATTGCATGTGCTGTTATACCGTTCTGTATATGTGTTGCGGTTCCGGGTGGGGGTTTTTTTTTTTTTTAGGGAACCATCGGTTGATGTTACGCTTGTTCTTGTTATTGTTACTGTTACGAGGCACACGTGTATTGACGGTGTTAATCTTTATTCTTGGGGGTTCAGGGATTGTTGCAGCCGGGACGGCTGCGAGCTGTACAGGGGGGGGTGATGTAGGGGTTATTACGGGAGAAACGGCGGACAACAAACACAGGGCTGTCGGCACTCACATACACGGGGGGTCACACCGACGTCCGCATCAGTTATTGCCCACGCCCCCAGCCCTCGGAGGCGATCCCTATAAAAGGTGGAACCCAAAGAGCTCGAGGCAGTTCGACACGAAGCTGACCAGTGAAGATCCAAGACTCGGAGATTAGGCCCTGGGACTCCCCGGTCTCGCCGTCCTTATAAGGGCCGAGCCGGGTAAGCCAGTGGCGCGGCCCAAAGGCTTCCAGACCGCTGCCCTTATCAGGGCAAGGCTGGTTAGCTGGTGCCGAGATCTGTGCTTGCCAGGGCCAGATCAGTCAGCCTCCCGTAGCCCAGTAGAGGAGGACTGGGGGACAGGACAGAGGGCTTAGTACTAGGGTGGGTTTCCCATAGTACGGGTGAAGGGGCCGATACCCCTTCAACTATTGTATCTGTCCCGGAGTTAATAAACAGTGTGTCTCAACTGCCTCATCGTCTCCTCATCAACTTACTACACAGGTAACATCGTCACGATGCCACATGATTAGAGATCGCGACAAAGGTTCAAAGGTAAAGATCCCTCCCAACCCGGATAGCGTTCCGTTGGGGCAAGTGCTGTTAGCGACAAGCTACCAAACGAAGGCCGGTACTGCGGCATGCGAGGGGGTGGGTGGACAACATCACGCCCGGCCGCCTTTGTCTCCCTGAGTGGCGATGTTTACACATTGCACACCAGGTACTCATTTGAGGCCGAGTTCGATTCCAGCTCACGGCCAACACCGATGACGATTATCTGTACCAGTCCTGGGCCTCTCCTAGGTCGACTCGGCCTCAAAGGAGTACCTGGTGCGGCGTGTAAAAACATCGCTACTGGAGGAGACAAAGGCGGCCGGGCGTGGTGTTGTCAACCCACCCCCTCGTGTGCCATGCCGGCTTTCATAGGTGCTCACTAACAGCACTTGCCCCTACAGTCTGTGAAGGCTACACGGGGGAGCTTTATTTTTTGTTTGTGTTAGCTAACAGCACTTGCCCCAACAGTCTGTGAAGGCTACACGGGGGAGTTTTCTTTTTTGTTTGTGTTAGCTAACAGCACTTGCCCCAACAGTCTGTGAAGGCTACACGGGGAGCTTTATTTTTTGTTTGTGTTAGCTAACAGCACTTGCCCCAACAGTCTGTGAAGGCTACACGGGGGAGCTTTATTTTTTGTTTGTGTTAGCTAACAGCACTTGCCCCAACAGTCTGTGAAGGCTACACGGGGGAGCTTTATTTTTTTTTGTGTTAGCTAACAGCACTTGCCCCAACAGTCTGTGAAGGCTACACGGGGGAGCTTTGTTGTTTTTCCTAGCCCCCCCCCACTCACTGCCACCCGACCCCATGAAACGTAACGCGAGGCAGCGCAGCAAGCAGGTCGCCCACCTTCCAGCTGGATGTCGCGGCTGATGTTGCGCGCCAGCGAGCCGGTGTAGAAGGCGTCTGCGCCTTCCCTGGCGATCACCTCCAGCGTGTCGGCCAACTTGGCGAACCTCACCGTGTCGTTCTCGCGCCGCACCTTCCCCGACTCGTCGCAAAACACCTCGCTGCGAAGCGCACGCGGTCGCGACATCGACGGCAGACAGCGTCGACGAAACAAACGCTGACAACAACGCCGACGACGACGACAAAACCAAATCTTGACTCAAAGCTTTCGTGACTGCAGGAATGCATATTGTTTGGGTCTTTCGGTGAAGTCACGTAGATGGGTTCAAAGAAAATAACAAAAATAACGAAAAAACTACGACGTTTCGATCGCAACGCAAGCGGTCGTCATCTGGCTGACAAAAGAGAGGAAAGCTGCTGAGGCAGGCTGTTTTAAAGGTTTGAAATGGGTGTAGCCCAAGGGTCATAAACGAAGTGGGCGGGGCTAGTGATGTTAATGTGAGAAATTAGCATGTTAATGTAAGATTGGAGGGCGACCTCCACGACGAGCGTGCAGAGGTGGCTGTGTTAATGTGAGATACATTATCGTGTTAATGGTTTACATTTCTCAGCCACCTCGTGCGCCGACGTGGTTGCGGCTCTGCGATCTTACATTAACATGCTAATTTATCTCACATTTACATCAATAGTCCCGCCCACTTCGTTTATGACCCTTGGGCTACACCCATTTCCAACCTTTAAAACAGTTTGCCTCAGCAGCTTTCCTCTCTTTTTTAAATCCTTTATATTAAGTTCACTTGCTTGCTTGCTTACGACCGTGCAAATCTTTCGGTCGTTTTTTAACCCACTTCCCGTGATCCAATCGAGCTGACATTTTGCACACAGACTCGTTGTGCGTGACAATTAATGTTCGTGAATTTTTTTCTCCAAAATTTTACACTTTTTAGGACAAAAATATGATATTTAATTACCAATTGCTTAATGGTGCAATGCAATCATCTGACCCATAGGTGGCAGCCATCTCAAGCCAGAGGACGAGAGGACTCTAGCCGCCACGCATATAAAGGATTTATAGTGAAAAACTTTGTTTTTACGGGTTATACTTGTTCAGCCTGATGACGACCGCTTGCGTTGCGATCGAAACGTCGTGGTTTTTGTTATTTTCTCTGAACCTATCTACGTCACTTTACCGAAAGACCCAAAGAAAATAAAAGTGGATGTTTTTTTTTAAATCCTTTATATTAAGTTCACTTGCTTGCTTGCTTGCGTGCTTACGACCGTGCAAATCTTTCGGTCGTTTTTTAACCCACTTCCCGTGATCCAATCGAGCTGACATTTTGCACACAGACTCGTTGTGCGTGACAATTTATTTTCGTGAAATTTTTTTTCCAAAATTTTCCACTTTTTAGGAAAAAAAAATTTCATATTTAATTTAAAATACCAATGTGATAAAAATGAAACTCTTACGCAAGAAAAACAGAAATGAATAAAATAAAACCGATGCCACGCATATAAAGGATTTATAGTTAAAAACTTTGTTTTTACGGGTTAATTTTTTTGTTTGTTCCTTCTCTCTCTCTCTAATCATGTGGGTATTTCGACGGATGACCGTCACTCGAGGTTGAACTCTTTGGTTCGCTCTCGGCCAGGGTTCGAGCGACGTCGCGGGCCTCTGTGAGACTCTGCGGCTGCTGCGTCAAAGTAAACGTCTGCAGCGGCAGCAGCAGCGGGAGCAACGGCACGACGACTCCCGCTCAGAAGTCGCAACCGGGTACCCGATACCCATACCCTACCCGATACCTGGTGCGGCCGGGTACGGGTAGACCATGAGTCACTGGTGAGTCACCGTTTGTCACTCATTTCCCAACGTCTTGTCTCTTCTCACAATTCAAGTTCCTAGAATCAACCCACCCGCGCCTGCAACATGGCTTCATCCCAGAGGTCGCAATCAGGTACCAGTTTGCGACCCTGGTGCGGCCGGGTACGGGTACGGGTAAGGAATCAAAACCCGTTTGCGTCCTCTGCTCCCGCTCAAGTCCCTCACCAGAGCGACGGCCTCGACTCGATCTGCTCCCGGGCGGACTCCATGGCCGCGGCGAGCGCGTTGCTCACGCGGATGCCCCGTCGCGCCATGTCCACGCTCGGCTTGAAGAGGCGCGCCCAGGGCAGGCGGCCGTGGCGGCGGTGCGCCAGCTCGTAGCCGCGCAGCTCGCCGGGAACGGCGACGGCCAGTCCGCCTGAAGACGCGCCGCAAACCACGACCGCAACGACACCGTCACTTGCCGCCGCGCGAACGCCCACGCCATCCCCCCCCCCTACCCCTGTGGCACGAGGCGCTTGACTCATCGCCGAACACGCCACAGCAGCAACCGCGGCGGCGGCGGTGTCGCAAACGGCGTTCGTGCCAGGCTAGGTGCGCTTCGCGTGGCCGTCGCGTGCAAGCGTCGAAGGCTCGCTGCTGCGAGGAGGTTGCGGTACAAAAGCCAGGTGGTGCCATAGGTTGACTGACTGAGATGACTGGCAGGTGCACCACCTGTGCCCCCATACTGTGCCAACACGCGCGCACTCACACACACAACAACAACAACCGCCATTCGCCACTAAGTAGCGGTGACGTCACCACGATGCTTGTGCCAGGCCAAGTGCACACACACACTCACATACACACACACACCCACACACACTTACACACACACTATCACACACATACACTCTCACACACACACACACTCTCACACACTCACACACGCACACACACTCACACACACTCACACATACACTCACACACTCACACATACACTCACACACACACACACTCACACACTCTCACACACACTCACACATACACACACACACACTCTCACACACACTCTCACACACACTCACACATACACTCACACACACACATTCACACATACACACACTCACACACACACACCGCGTGTTCCACACCATGGCACGCGACACGCATCGCGGAAGCGCATCGTCGACGTCGCACCACGCACGCGCCATACCACAAACGTCACGCCGTGCACACACCACGACACGCCGTTCACGTGGGGCATCGTTTACAAATTGTTCGTTCTCAAGACTATTGTGAACCGAAACCGGTGAGCCGGAGTCATAATTTACAACGAAGTGGCAATTCCAAGGAACGGACTCGTTTCCGAGGACATGTCCACCTACAGCCGAACATTCCAACGCAGGATCGTGAGAGGCGTCGATGGCTTGGGGAGGGAGAGTCTTCATCCAGTAGTGGATTGACCATGGCTGATGATGATGTTGTTTTTGTTTCTCCCACTGCCCCTGTGAGTCATTTCTCAAGGATGTGCTGCACGTCATTCGGGGACGTGTTCTGTGTCCGTGCGCAGTGAGACTTGTTGGACATCTGTGAAAAAGAGCTTCATAGCTCACCGGATTCCTCCCGGATAAATACGTCTGCTGATTCTGACTTAATCGGTGCTTCCCAGGTGAACTGTGAGCCACGCAGAGCATCCTGAGGACCATCGACTGTGAGTGCTATTGACGTGGGAGTTTGCGTAGTGGGAGGCAGTGCCGGATTATCCTAGTAGCAAACGTAGCTACAAATACTACGGGCCCCGCACTTTTAAGGGCCCCACTCTAAATGCTTTCAAGCTATCAATTCCGGTTCAGTGATTCTGCACTTGCTCTATGACTATAGTACTATACCGCCTTCAACTTTTATGAACGACTGGGTGTTTAAGGTTAGCGATTTGTCGTATTATCTGGCTGTATATCAAATGAAAAAATACTATTTACTATGCAAGTAAAAAAAGATGAGTGTGTGTGTTTTTATTTATTTAGGGCCCTCTTTATAACATAAATGCTACAGGCCCCGCACAATCTTCATCCGGCACTGGTGGGCGGGTGGAGTGGGCGATGGAGGTACCGGTCAGAGAGAGGTCAGAGTTGTTCCCAAACATGTTCTCCGTGGCGTTGAGTGGAGCCGTCTCCCTCGCGTTTATAAACTCCGCTCTCCCTGCGAGGATGGGCAGGAAAAGGGGGTTTACGCGAGCGAGAAAGAATGATCGTCACTTTGTGCTTACTCACGATGGCATATGCAAGCTCAGTGCTAGACAATGTTTAGATTTCAAAAAACTATCTCCCCCCCCCAACCACAGCCCCCCCCCCAGCCGTTTAGCCTCATTGTCTGTGGGTGCAATGCACGCAGAAAAGACAAAGATCCCCCGTATAGCCTGTAACAGATTGTTGGGGTAAGTGCCGTTAGCGAGTAGCACCTATGAAGGCCGGCACGGCACACGAGGGGGTGGGTGGCCAGCACCACGCCTGGCCGCCTTTGTCTCCCCAGTGGCGATGTTTACACACCGCACCAGGTACTCATTTGAGGCTGAGTTGACCTAGGGGAGGCCAGGGACCGGTTCAGAACTCGCCGGGTTCGTAGCGCTAAACGCTGCACTACCGCTCCCAACATTAACAAACACATGCTCACACACACACACGCTCACACACACGCTCACACACACGCTCACACGAACACACACGCTCACACACACACGCTCACACCCACACACACACGAACACACACCGGTGGAGGCGTTGTAGATGGTGAAGAAGGCCCCGCCGCCAATGCCCATGCTGTGCGCGTTGAAGAGACCGATGCAGAGGAGTGCCGCGATGGCCGCGTCCACCACGGAGCCGCCGTCCTTCATCGCGTCCCTGCGGCCCACGGGGCGGGGCAGGGGGTCAGGGCTCGTGGGTCAGGGTTGCTGAGTCAGGGTTGCTGGGTCAAGCCTCCTGGGTCAGGGTGACTGGGTCAGGTTTATGGGGTCAGGGTTACTGGGTCAAGCCTCCTGGGTCAGGGTGACTGGGTCAGGTTTATGGGGTCAGGGTTACTGGGTCAGGGTTAGTGAATCAGGGCTACTGGGTCAAGCCTCCTGGGTCAGGGTGACTGGGTCAGGTTTATGGGGTCAGGGTTACTAGGTCAGGGTTAGTGAATCAGGGCTACTGGGTCAAGCCTCTTGAGTCAGGGTTACGGGGTCAGGTCTCCAGGGACAGGGTGACTGGGTCAGGTCTGGTTCAGATTTACTCAGGGTTGCTGGGTCAGGGTTACTGGGTCAGGGCTACTGGGACCGGTGTCTCTAGGCTGGGAGTCGATCACTGACACCCCGAAGGGACCCCTCACCCAGTAGCGTAGTTCGGCCACAAATACAACGCGATCTTTTAAAATAAAATTGTTTAATTCGAAACGCTGCCCCGAATCATGACAATTCATCGGACGCCAAATGGGAGGTGATTATTACTCCGCTAGCTTTTCACACAAATACTCGGATTGCCTTCCTCACACGCACATGGAATAGTCCAAACATCCCAATGCAGGACCCTCTTCAAGGCCCACAGCTCACTGGGGCTCATCGCAGACTAAAGGTAAAAGCGCAGCCCTGATCGCCCATGCAAATGCTGGTGGAAAGGCCACCACGAGATGTTAACTCCTTTGCCTGGTATGGAGGAGGTTGTGGGTTCGATCCCAACCCTGACGCCTGCATATTTGGAGTTTTTCATGTTCTCCCCGTGGTCACGTGGATTTTGATCCGGGTCCTCCGCTTTTCCCCTCCACATTTATAATCAAAAATGCGTTTAGAATATTTGTCTGCTATAAATTTACACGTGATAAGCCACTTCGTTGAGCTGTCATTTGTGGCCAGGTCGCTTCTGAAAAATAGCTACATAGCTCAGTGGGCCTTTTGTGGTCAAATAAAAACGGTGGACTGTAGTTTTAATGACGGCATCATCAGCTTCATTGTTATGATTACGGATAATTTTGGTTTCTAAATTTAGAACTCTTAGATTCGTTCCACCTACATTCCCTACCACCACCATCGTCATTGCTATTATTGTGGCTTTCGTGTTATTATCATAATTTTTAGATTCTAAATTTAGAACACTTAAATTCCTTCCACCTGCACCCCCTGACACCAACGTCCTCCCTGCACTGGTGGTTGTCTCAATTTAAGAAGCCCTCTCATAGCAGGAAATCCAGGCTGGCACTAGGTTCGGGGGGTGGGGGGGGTCGAGAGGTCATTTCCCCAGGCCGGCCCGGGCCACGGTGCAATCTCCATCTCCTCTCTCACCTCCCGACCTCGGAGCACGGCCCTGCATCGGCTGCCACGGCGGCGCTGTGGTAAGAGTGGGTCGCCGGGGTCACGGGGGTCGGATCGGTGCGACGAAGACCCAGGGTGAGACCCAGGATGAGAGCCACCGCGAGGCTCACGAGTAAAATCGCCGAGGCGAGCGCCAACTTCGTGTTCTTCTGCATGCTGGATTTTCCAACAAAAGACAAAGATGCCCCCGTCATAGCCTGAACAGGCTATTGCGGCAAGGGCTGCTAACGACCACCTCATCATGCACAGGCACGCAGGTTAATTGGTGAGCACGTGGCTTTGTGGTGGTTGAGTCGGCGGGTGTACGAACGTGGAGATATACCTGGGACCACACGGTCTCATTTCCCCCACCGATGTTTTTGTTTTTATTTCTTCCGGAATCACTCGTGGTATAGATTTAGAGTGGTAGCCACGTGAGTAGTACCGTAACCACGGCCATAGCGATGTGTATACTGGATGTTGTGTGCCGGGTACGGAAATATTTTTGGGCTCGCCCGACCCTAACAGGGCCGGCTCAAATGCAGTAAAGCAGGAACTCAGTCGTGTAGACGCAGTGCCTTTACCAATAATGTCTGGTTAACCTTACTTTCCCTATGCTGATGAGACCCATGAAGTCGAAACCGGTCCCGGGTTTGCTTACTTAAACAAAATGCGGCCCTGTGGCATCGGTCGAGTAAGTCAATAAATGGGCTGATGTACCAGACATGTGTGCCTGTGCGATTTAAAATTCTGCTTATAATTGTCGTTTTTTTTTAAAATACAGATACCGATCTCGTGAACTCGACTCTATGGATCTGCCTTCTCTCTTCGTTCTCCTTACGGAGAAAGGATTGTTGCGTATTTTTAAAGCAGAGCCGCGCGCCTCTGTGTGTGTGTGTGTTAAGCAGTTGAAACACGTCGCTTTACTTTGGAAGTAATTCCCCACTCCGCTTTGTGATGCGGAGTCACGGAGCCGCTGTCTGTAACAGCCCTCCGATGCGTCTGCGGGTTCGGTGCCGCGTGTTTGTTCGGCACGACGTCCGACGTTTCGCTCCACACGCTTCTTCAGGAACGTGGTGCGAAACGTCCGACATCGTGTTGAACAACACAAGCGGCGCAACCCTACAACACCTCATATATATATACAGTAAATATACAAAAGTAAACGTCCGTCCTGAAAAATATAATTTTAACACCCACGAAATGTGACTGGAACTTAATGGTATAATTAACAACTTCGTGCGTCATTCGTCCAGCAGTGGACACATCATGGATGATGAGGATGATGATGATGATGATGAGCTCATATGCTGAGGCCATAATTAGAGAATGCAGTTCCCTGAATTTGCTCCCAACACGTGGACCGAAACGTCGGACATCGTGCCCAAATCACACGACGGCACAACCGGACAAACGCATCGGCGAGGCCGTAGAGCTGCGACTACCTACCGCATCTTAGTCAGGAAAGGATTGTAGCGTGGGATCGTGAACCCTGTCTGTTTGGTCTCCTTGTTAGCGTCTCATCTCGTGGACGAGGAGGAACGGCGGGGGGGGGGGGGTGAAGGGGGGGGGGGTAAGGAGGGGGGGGGGTTGAGGATGAGGAAGAGGGGGGGTGAGGAGGAGGGGGGGTCTCAAGCCGTACCCAATCGCGTGGGAAGGAACATCGTGTGGCTGCGGCGCGATCATTGTTTATTTTTGACTTCCAAGTGTAGGTCGTGTTGGGGGGTGGGGTAGGTGCTACTCGCCGACAGCACTTGCCCCAGCAGTCTGTTAAAGGCTATACGGGGATCTTGTCTTTATCTTTGGGTTTTTTGGTGGTTGTTGAGAATATTCCAGAATGTACCCGTGCGTTTACTTAATCCCGCAGTCTTATATAACAAACAAATCATCGTCAAACACGGCAGCCGAAAAATCATCATCTGTAGCAGAGTTAGTCATCAAGCCACGTTCTATCCACTGCTGGATGACGGCACCCTACGCTGTCGCGAAAGCGGTCACGGTACTGCACTGCCACCACAAGTCCATCTCACTCAACTACTGCACCCACACGCATCGTATATCACCCCATCGCTCTCTCTCTGAGCTCTGATCGCTCCTCTCCCCCTCTGCTTTGCCGGCTTAAATTCCGTTTCCATCATCGTCGTCACCACTATCATCCCAACTCGCCACGCTGTGCCCTCGCCCGAGCCAGATTCATGTTCTTTTGAAGTCGCTCCTGTTATGTCCGCGACGTTCGCCGGTTCCACGCGACTCGGCGTCCCCGTGGTTTGTACGACCGCACATCTGCGAAACTACTGGAGAGCTGTGAAAGAAAGAGCTTCACAGCTCATTGGATTCGTCCAGTCTAAAATTCTGACACCGGGATGCACGTGTCGTGAGTGCGACTGTCGCGGGCAACAAACGCACGTTGCGAGAAATCACGCACGCAATTGTGAGCCGCTCAACGCTTTGTCGCGAGCAACACGACGCGTCGCAGGCGACACGGTGCTATTGTAAATCAACACGACGCGTGAACACGAATCGACGAAGTCGATGGCGTCCGCAGCGTAAACGCCCGAAGAGGATAGCGAGTCGGGGGAGACGCCGTCACAATCACCACCGCCATCAGCCTCACCTGGAGGGACGCGGAGTCAGCGGAGTTGAAGATCGCACCTGAGATGAAGGTGGCACGGCGGGAACAGCAGGGTGTGAGCAAGGGGTGTAGGGGATAAATAGGGGGAGAGGGGGGGGGTTAAGAGGGGCTGCGTGCTGGGAGGGCGGAGGTGATGGTGGGGGGCGGGGCTGGGGTTCGTCCGACTCGCCACCAAACTATGTGCGCTTCGTCGGACGCGCGGTATTTGTGATCACTGACGCGTGCGTTGGGTGCCCGTGTGGGTGCCCGTGTGTGTGTGTGTCAGTGCGTGTGTGTGTGTCTGTGCCGGTGTGTGTGTGTGCGCGTATGTCAGTGTGTGTGTGTCTGTGTGTGCCGGTGTGTGTGTGTGTCTGTGCCGGTGTGTGCGTGTGTGTGCGCGTATGTCAGTGTGTGTGTGTCTGTGCCGGTGTGTGTGTGTGTGCGTCTGTCAGTGCGCGTGTGTGTGTGTGTGTCTGTGCGCGTGTGTGTGTGTGTCTGTGCCGGTGTGTGTGTGTGCGCGTATGTCAGTGCGCGTGTGTGTCCTGTGCCCGTGTATGTGTGTGTCTGTCAGTGCGCGTGTGTGTCTGTGCCGGTGTGTGTGTGTGCGCGTGTGTCAGTGCGCGTGTGTGTGTCTGTGCCGGTGTGTGTGTGTGTGCGGGCTTTATTAGGACACTCTCTGACAGGACTTGCGCCAACAGTCTGTTAAAGGCTATATGGGGGACCTTTGCATCTGTGTGTGTGTGCAGTAGTGTAGCGGTTAGCGCGCTGCGCTACAAACCCGGCGACCCGGAGTCGAGCAGGTGTTGTTGGCCTCCCCGTCCACGCTAGTCCGACGGTTCGAAACGCGATCCTGGATTCCGTGCGCGCGGCGCTCGACGCCGATGGGGCAATCAAAGGGACGATGGATGTGTGACCGTGATGACTGCACGACGATGGTTTGCTGCGCCGGTTAGCGCGCTGCGTTACGAAACCCAACGTCCCGAGTTGGATTCCCGCTCACGGCCAATGGCAGTGGCGTCTGTATCTGAACCGGTCATGGGCCTCGCCTCGGTTTACGCAAGCCTGAAAATTTTGTACCTTGGTGTAAACATCAGCCATGGGGAGACAAAGGCGGCCGGGCGTGGTGTTAACCACCAATCCACCTGTTTGTGTGTCGCACCGGCCTTCATAAGCGCTCGCGAACAGCACTTGCCCCAAGTCTATGAGAGACTTTACGGGGCATTTTTGTCTTTGGTTGGGGAAATGGTGGGGAAGTGGGGAGGAGTGGGTGGGGGTGGGGGAGGCAGATTTGATAGGTTTCTTGGGTCAAGGGTCGATTACCGAGTGTTCGCTTTGAGGTCACAGCCGCATGATTGCATCCATTCGCCTGGAGTCGAAGTGGACCTCGCTCTGTGGAACTCTTACATCCGAAGATCACTCCGCCCTCTCCACTCCACCCACCCCAAACTCCTCTTCCCTACAGAGCAGCGGTTCTTACTTACCCTTTACTGCAGCCTTGCAGTAATGTTAATGAATGCATAGGGCTTGATGAAACAAAGTCAAATTTTTATTTAAAGCTTTCGTGACTGCAGGGATTCATATTCATGGTTCTTTCGGTAAAGTCACGTAGAGGGGAAATAATAAAATAATACAAATATAAAACAATAAAAACTCTCACGACGTTTCGACTGCAACACAAGAAATCATCATCAGGTGTGAAATCCACAGCAAGAAAAAGTGGCACTTTTTTTCAAATTTTCTTGCTGTGGATTTCACACCTGATGATGATTGCTTGTGTTGCAGTCGGAACGTCGTGAGAATTTTTATTGTTTTATATTTATATTATTTTATTATTTCCCTTCTCCGTGACTTTACCGAAAGAACCAAGAATATGAAACAAAGTCAGTTGTATCTACATCATGGGACCTCTTTTGCCAGTACCAAAATATGATAATAGTGGTTTCCCCTTTTATCTGGCAACAATACAGGTGTTAAGTTGTTAAAACACCAAACTGAAACCTTTTACAAGAAATAATGTCTGCATGAACCAGTGATGATGATGATAATTGGCGTGCAATCCCCAGTCCTCCTCTTCGCCTTGGCCAAACAACACACTTGTTATTTGTTTATGCCCATTTTGCTTATATTCGCTCAATATCAGAATCAGAATTTGTATTTATACTGGGGGAATCCGATGAGCTAAAAAGCTCCCTTTCACAGATGAGCAGTCGGGGCGGGTAAAAATGTCCAAAGCAAAACACAATACAATACCTATTGCTTTGCGACTCGCAGATGGCAGTGAGGCGGTGGCCGCCGAGTGGTTTTTTTGCGCCCTCTAAACAAAAAAAGCCCAGCAGCCTGTATTTTGGAAAGGAGAGATATGATAATTGGTTTTTTACCCTTCTATCTGGCAACAAACTGACACCTTTTTTACAAGGAGTCATGTTTGCATAGTTGATTGGTCAACTTCAAAGACAGTGCTTACATTATCAGAGTTGTGTTTTTTGTTTGCATTATGACTGCAGGTATTGTGGTCTATGCAAACATGACTCCTTGTAAAAAAAAGGTGTCAGTTTTGTTGCCAGAT